GCTGCCACGGCTCATCACGTGTGGAGAGGTACTATCCGGGACGTAATCAAAGCCGACTAAATCAGGCATGATCGCAGACATAACAGGCCAGGGCAAGACAGGCAGGGAGTAGGTTGCCTTAATGATGACATCAAGGATATTTACCAGCAAGTACCTGGGACGCAAAAATAGCCCAAGTTACGTTCACCAAAGTCTTAATGTATGAAAGTAAACATCCTAACAAAAGGATGAAATATTGTGGTTGATCCAGTAGTGCTACGTGGTAAAGTAAATGCAGCTTTTTAAGAAAAGCAAAACATTCCGCACACGTGAAAAATCAAAGCTACTGAGGAAACCGAAGTTTTCAATGTCTGGTGAAATTGATGCGACAAATTAAAGGGAGGCCGGACTGGTAATTACTGGCTTGTAAGCCGGAAGTCTGTTCCCGCATAAAACCGAGTGAACAGAGTAGCACACGTAGAATAACGTTTGAAAATAGTGCGTTGGTGAAAGTTGCTGCCAAGTAGGTATCCAGATTGCGCCCAATGTAAAGTATCGCATATTGCGGAGTCAAAAAAACACTGGAACGCAGAGCGCACAACTGTTTACGGTTGTTTCTTCATTTCTATCCTGTAGATGCGCTGGACTAAATAAGACAAATTTTACTTGATGGTGCCGATTGGTACTTTACAGGATTAACGTATATCGTAATATTACATGCGCAAATGCTGGTATGTGACTAACAGATTTTATAGAATTTGCAGGGTGCAATCGGATACATACCCTGTTGTGTACATTGAGAGACATTTCCTACGTGACTTTCCTTTGTAATTAATTCGAGAGTTCGAGTGCGGCGAGCTTCATTTTTTGAAATTTTACTTAACACTAAGAATTTCAGTGTTTTTGTTCGATTGTCCCTAAATACCGACTTTGTTCTACGTTTTTACCAAAAACTTCAAAATTGGATATTTATTAAAAGCATTTACTTAAATAATGAATTTTTAAACCTTTCTTATGCAGCTCTCTGTTTGAGCCATGGTTTTAGAATAACCTAAAGGTGTCAAAACATTGCCGACAAGAAGGAATGTTCACAGTAAAAATTCGCGAATGAATACCCCTAAGATTATTTTTAAAACACTCCTATAACAAGAAACCTCTTGAAGCAAGGCTTTAAAAATCGGGGTTCATCTTCTGCTGAAAATGAAATAAATCATTTTTCTCTGTATAACAGAGCAGCTTTCAGCATATTACTATGCA